CATCTGCTGTGATGTTCACACCTTTGATAAAGTCTTGCGTGTGTCAGCTTCCTTTTTATAGATACAAAAATATGTAAATGCACTGATCTGAATTATAATATTTCTGACTGTCAAAATTTCCCAGATTCAAATCGAATCGAATCGAATCGAATTAAATCGAATCGTGGATCGAATCGATTCAGGACCTTGTGAATCGGAATTGAATCGATTCTAGAAATCAGTGATGATACCCAGCCCTAAGTGGCAGTACTGATTAGTGAGTGACGATTAATTGCGCACCAATTCCTCTGCAATCCTCTTATCATTTATAGCAGCGACAGGTAATAAACCAGTCCTCATCAAAGAACAGTGCTCTTTAATGAATGCAGCACATAACCTTACATCGTATAGGTAACAGGGAGACACATCGAGTTATCAGTTAGCCATCTTAACTATATTCTAACTCTACAATTTCCCGACTGCACTTTACTCTTGTTTCATGACACCACCCTCTAGTGGTGCAATATGGTATAGTCAGACAGGACACAACATCACTCACTAGCTTACTCTTCAAATGTGGCAAGTGAAATCTCCCGCAGCAAGCTTAAACGTGCTAGAGGTTGATTGCGCAGAGAATAAAAAAAAAAAAATCACTGGCATGTGTAAAAACAGATGGATTTACGCAGGTATTTTAGTTCTGCTGAGCCAAAAAAGACAGGTCAGGATGAAGAAGGGACAGGCAAAGAAAGGCCTACCACAAAGCGGAAAAGTTACGACAAATCAGACTACGAGGCAAAAAGAAAGCGCAGTTTTTTGGTTTCATGGACAAAAGAATTTCTGTGGCTGGAATATGACAAGGTGAATAACATGATGTTCTGCCGGGTGTGTTGGGACCAGTAATTTTAGGAAAGACCCCATCAGAACCCATGAGAAATTTCTGCATCACAAGAAATGCATTGGTGCTCAGTCTGCAGCATCTTTCCCAGAACAAACACCCATTGCAAAAAACATACTAAAAATAAACCAAGCACAACAAGAAGTCCTGAAAAAGCTATTTAGAACTGTGTACTATGTGGCAAAGAGTGAACTACCATTGGCAAAATTTAGCAGTCTTTGCAAACTTCAAAAAGCAAATGGCCTAGATCTTGGTTCCACTTACCTCAATGACCATGCTTGCAGAGAGTTTATTGGAGCAGTAGCACAAACTTCAAGAGACCAGAATAAAAAGGAAATTCAAGAAAGCGGGTTCTTATCCATTCTTGCAGATGGCAGTACAGACACTGGTATAATAGAACAGGAGTTGGTTCATGTCAGGTATGTGAGAGATAATGGTGACATAGCTACATACATGATCAAATTTCAGCCAGTCAAGAGTACAAATGCTGCAGGTATTTTAGAGGCTATTGATGAAGCAGTGAACACCATGGGTATCAGAGAAGACATGGAAAAAGAAAGTAGTGTGTGCAAATGTTGATGGTGCTGCAGTGATGATGGGTGAGAAAACAGGAGTAGCTGGGAGACTGAAACAGAGGATACCCCACATCATAACAATCCACTGTGTGGCACACAAACTAGAGCTAGCTGTGCTGGGTAGCGTGAAAGGCTGTGACTGCCTGGTAAAATTTGAAGTTACACTGAAAACCATCTTAAAGGTGTACTACTATTCCCCAAAGAAGTGAAGAGAGCTGACAGAAATAAGTGAACTGCTAAATGAGAAGCTGCCACATTTCAATGGCCTGAAGAGCACACAGTGGGTTCCAAGCCGGCTGAGATGTCTGAAGGCTGTGGAAAAAAATTACACTCCCACTGTTGTTCATATGGAGAACATGGCAGAAGGAAGTGATGTCAAAGCCGAGGATGCAGCCAAGGCTAAGGGGGTGGTGCAGGAGATGAAGACTGAGAAATTTGTTCACTTCCTGCATTTCATGTTGGACTACAGTACCATCTTATCCAAGTGCTGTACTGATTCTTAGCATGAAAACCTTAAAAAAACAAAACAAAAAAAACCCCTAAACATCACACGAACAAATCAGTTAGTTGAGGGCACCACATCACGCTTACTCAGACTGAAAACAAAACCAGGAGAATATCAGAAACCCTTGAACACAAAGTTCACAGCGAACCAGGATGGTAGCATTTGCTACTGTGGAACTCAGCTAACAAAAAGTCAGCAACCTACTAGAAGAGGTGAGGGCGCAGACAGAGACACCTTTGGTGCAGAGATTCAGAAGATTATTGACAACACAGTCAAGTACATGGACAACAGATTTAAAAATCTGCGTGGAAAAACCTCTCTCTAGTTTCAAGGTTTTTGACCCTTCCATTCTTTCCTACCCCAGAAAAGAGTTGGCGAGTTATGGGGATGAAGAGGTGGATTATCTTGTCACACATTTTGCCTGTTTTCTAGATGCAGAACAGAAAGAGAAAATTCCACAAGAGCAGATGGATCTAAAAATGTGGCTTGCAGAACACCGGGGTAGCAAAGTAGATTACTTGTACAGAGATCTCCTCTCTGAGAATCCAGAACACCTCTCTCATATCTTGTTGCTGGTGAAATTAATGCTGACACTTAGTCCATCAACAGCCATCTGTGAGAGAGGATTTTCTTGCATGAACCGAGTGAAGAAAACACATCATACCTCTCTACACCCTGAAACACTGAAATATCTGTTCAATTAGAATCAGATATTTGAGTTGATTGTAATGTTTATACAGTTGTTGTAATTTGTGTTTTAACAATTTTTTGATTGATGTTTTGTTTCCTTTACAATATTATACAATAAAAATAATCTTTTTTATTCTGGCTACTTAAATTTATTTTGGGCTACCAAAAACTAAAGAGTACCTGCCCGAAGGGCTACCAGGGATTTAGAAATTTTGCGAGCCCTGAAATGCGATGGTTTGGACATTCATTTGCATGTTTCCCTACTGTAGTGGTCTCTGCAAGCATACAGGGCTGTGAGAGGGTACAAAACGACAACTTTGGAATCATATTTGTTTGTCAAAGCTGAACCCAGGGCATACTACGCTAAATTAGCGTTTTTAGCTGACAGCTACAATAAGCATAAAAGTTACTGTACGTTTGTTATTATTTGTTAACATGACGCTTGTTCTTATACATGTAATACATTTATTACTAACCTAAAAGTTTATCTGCTCGTCAGTCAAAATGACATATGACTTCTTTTTTTCCTAAAACAACACCGGAACCGGATGTAAGTCCCAAAAAACTGAATTTTGGAACTAAAATTGAATTTTAAAAATGAAACTGAATGGTGAGAAGTGAAACTGAAATTACTTGAGAGCTACATTTTTAAAGGATAAAATACAGTTTCAAAGCAAATGAATTCATTTTCTAAATATAAAATTCAATTTCAATTTAGTGACAATCATTTTCAAACCAATATATTAAATTTCAAATTAGGCTAATTCAAATTTAGTTTTAAAAAGCATTTATTCAAGTTACAATTCAGATTCAATCTGAGCAATTCAAATTCGAATTTAACTTATTCAAATTCAGTTTCTGGTGGCACAAAGTTCTACCCACCACTACTACATGCTCACCCAACTAAGCTAAACTTACGCCTGACCACGTTAATCACCGAAATTGGAGAAAGCATAGAGAGGGGATAGCCTAACATATGAAACAGGAAATGACTGCCGTGTATTCCATTTATTCCAACAAAGTAACTGTATTCTGATTACCACCTATTTAAACGGCAACTGTAACGGAATACAGTTACTCATATTTTGTATGTTAAATATGTAACGCCGGTACATGCATTTCATTACTCCCGCTTCACAGGGACTTGAAGCCTGGAGTTCCCCACCCCTGCTCTAAGTATTCACAGCATCACTCCGAGTCAGGCTCAGTGCCTTTGATACCCTCTGCTAGATTTGTTTAGCAGGTAATAAAGCAGAGGCCTAGAAGCTCGTTCAGCACATCTAGCTATCTTTCTGCTACGCCTGCTCACAGGTAGTTTTTTGTAGCTCACCTTGTGCGCATAATTTTTCACGCTCAACAAGCTCGCTGAGCAGCTGCGACAGGTTCTGGTTCAGCTCGGAGATTCCGCGTATCAACGAGCTAAGGTGTGTTTCTACCTGCACGCTGACCGTCTGCCTCTGCCCATCTCTGAGCCAAAGCTCTGTCCGCAGCGACGCCATCTTCCTCGATGACGTCATCGCGGACCATCTACTACCTTCAGGTTCGCTTTATGATTTATTTATCAAAAAATCCTGGTCATGTGTAACTCTGATCTACACACCGGAACTGAGTAATAGATTGCAATAACGGGCTTTAAAGTTTCAGGGGTCAAACTTTGCTGATGAGTCATGTTTGGAATGAAAGCTGCGCTTTAATCAGTTGTAGGAGGACATTCGTTGAAACACGTGAACGCGACACAGCGCTTAGCTTATTTTTTATTTTATTTATCAGGTAATTATTATAAACTTTATTAATATTCAGACTCAGTGGAACTGACCTGTTTACTAATTTTATTTGTGTTTTTGTTCCGGTGACGTCTCACCTCAATGTCCCGCCAAATACGATCTGAAGAAGTGAACCGGAAGTTGTCATTGGTTAATGGTAGCTAGCAGCTCGATGACACACATCAGAACATCGGACTTGATTATTTATTATTGGTGCTTCATCGACTAGTTCACAGTCAAGCGGAGCAATCTGACCCTAGATCGGTGAGTGTTTTTGTTCTCAGAGCGAGCAGCCTTAGCATTAAGCACGCTGCCCGTTCGTATTTACCCAGGATGCTGGCTGATGCTAACTGGCGCTAACGGTTAACATGCTTATTGATTGTCCCCGTTAACAGCTCCTTGTTGCGGCTCTGAAGCTTGTGAGTGTTTGTTGAGCTTGACGTCACAGCTGTTTGTTTTTTGTTTGGTTGTTTACACTTCGATGGCAGGAACCACTGCTCAGGCTCAGCTAAAAATCTGAGTTCGTTGAACCTGACTATAGCTGTATCCCAATCCAGCGACCGTACGCTTCGTAGTACGCGCACTTCGCTGACTACGTACTAGTGGTGCGCGGATCGACATTGAAATATCGATTGTTCCGATCCCAGTAATTTATGTTCTAGAATCGATTCTCATATTAAAATATCGATATTTTAGTACTTTGGGGTAAATTTGTAGTTTTTCATTAACAGGAACACAGTGGTAAGAAACTATATCATTCGGATCGTCTAAATTGGAAGAAACTACTTCCTCTTACGCCTTTCATAGTCATATGCGAAATACGGCTGTATAAATGTGTCGCAGCCCCTGGCCAGTGTTGCCAACTCCTCAGTAAGGAAAAACGCTATTGGCTATGCTAAAAGTCTCTAGAAGTCGCTAAACGACGTCATCGCGTAATTTGCATAATTGGTCATGCTAAT